CTCCCCCACGCCCTTTAATCTTCTTGCCTTTTTAAACATTAACAAAGTTAGGCTAAAACAGGATGCAGTAGGGAACTGTTCACAGTGGAAGGCCAGGTAAAAAAGAAAACTAGAATATCTAATTTTCCAATTGAATGAAAACTTGCTTAAACTAGCAGCAATCCCAGCTGCCTTACTGAGGCATTACTCTGAAGCAGGCAATATGCTACATTCTTTTCACATGCTATCTTCACAAAAACCATAAGAGTAGCAAGTTATTATTCTGCTTTCACAGGACAAGGAAATTGAGATTCAAAGACGCTAACTGAATCTCCCACAGAAATCAGGGCTCTCAGACTCCTACAGTATGAGTGTTTGTGTCCCACACATAACCCATGTGTTGAAATTACCTCCCTATGATGCTGGTATTAAGAGAAGGTCTATTTAGGGGGTGATTAGATCCTAAGGATGGTTACAAAGGAGGCTCCAGGGCACCTGCTTGCTGTACCCACCAGATCAGGACCACAGAAGGCCTACGTGTGAGAAATAGGTCCTTGCCAGACACTGAATAACCTGTTACCTTGATCTTGAATTTTCCAGCTTTCACAACTGTGAGCAATAAATCTCTGTTGTTTGTAAACTAGCCAGTTTTAAATTTCATGTTATAGCAGCCAAAGGAACTAACACCTCTGTTTCAGTGTCCCTGGAGTCTGTACTGTCCACTCTGTATCTTAGTGGTGCCTCTTCTCAAAGTTCTGGAGCTCCATGCTCTTGACTGAGAAACAGACCGTTCAGTAAAAGCTAAGTTAACAACATTGGTCACGGGAGCCTTTTAGCTTTAGTATATCCACACAACCATCATCCTTAGCCTCAAGCGGCCCCTGAGGTTGGAACTCAACAATACACAGTGACGATCAGAAAAGAAGCCAGGAATGTTTGCAGAGCTTCATGTGATACAGCAAAGTCCACTGGTAAAGAACTCCTGAGACTTACCTGCCTAGTGGAAACAGAATTGTCTCCTGAAAATTGTTACAAAGAAGGTCAACAAGTCCACTGTGTGCAGACAAGACAGCCCCTTGAACACAATCGGCATTTTGAGAATGGCTGAGTAGAAGAACCGAGCACCCTAAGGTAATCACCAGTAAGGAAGTTCCTCCTCTCACTAACTCACCAATGCTACATCAACTTATTAAGTGAGGACTGTTAATCAGACACTGGAGAAACAGCAAAGATGAAGCAACTCCTGTCAAATGACAGTCTCAGTATGTAGGAACCTCTGCATTGAATTCATCTGCTGCTTATTACAGACCCAAATTAAAGGCCCCAGCCCTGACCCAGAATCAGAATATCTGCAATAGAAGTTGGGAATATGCACTTTGTAGAAGCTTTCTCAATGATTCTTGTGCACACTCAAGTTGAGGATCACTGGTGTGAGAGACAGTGACAACATATGATAAGTGCATAGACACTCAAGATCTCACAACACAAAGCAACAATGCCTAACCCAAACCCTGAAAACATTTTTTAGTGAAACAGTAGCTATCCAGTTTAAAAAGAAGTGAAGAGATTTTTAAATGAGACTAACATTCCTTACGGAGCAAGGTAGAAGATTAGGAGAAAACCTAACTCTTCATTGGACTTGCAAGTACATTTCCAATTCTCATGCCAAGATCTGATTCCATCAAAAAAATAAAAATAAACTACCTGATATCAACTCTGCCATGAGCTTCCCTCCAACTTTTGCATATGCAGACAATAACAGTCTGAGTTCCTATTTTTTGTCTATGTCTCAATGTGGCATCACCAGGAAGCCTATAAATTAGTCAACTGTTTAAAAGTTCAGTCTTAGAAGGAAGGAAAGTTTGGGGGGTTATGCCCTGGTCTGCCACTGACTGTTAAATCATGTAACTTCTCTGAACTTTAATATTCTTATCTGCAAAATCAGAAAAATCACCAAGAATGCAAGAAAGCAATGCTGGGTGCCATGACACACCAAGAAATAGCATCATAGCTGTGGTATTTCTTCCGAAACTGCAAAACTAGAATCTAATTGGTAGGATGCATCAAAAAAACTCCAAATTAAAGAATTTCCCATAAAATAGCTGTCCGGTACTCTACAAAATTGTCAGGAAAAATAAAGAATGAAGAATTGTACCAGATCAATGGAGACCAAAGAGACATGACAATAAATATAGTACTGATCCCACTCAGGATATTAGACTATGGAGGAAATAACTATAAAGGACCTTATTGCAACAATTGATGACATGTGAATATGGACTATGAAGCGTGAATTTGATAATATAGTGTTCAATTTCCTAGTTTGTGTACATGTACCATATATTAAGATGAGTTTTTTCTTAGAAAATACACACTGAATCATTACGGGAAAGGTGCGTAGTGCACATGTGACCCCCCTCAGGTCATTCAGAAAAAGCATAGGTAAAGAGTTCTTCATCGCCAGGCGTAGTGGTGCACGCCTGTAATCCCAGTAGCTTGAGAGATTGAGGCAGGAGGATTACAAGTTCAAAGTCAGCCTCAGTAACTTAGTGAGGTCCTAAGCAACTCAATGACACCCTGTCTTTAAATAAAATATTTTTAAAAAGAGCTGGGGATATGGCTCAGTAGTTAAGTGTCTTGGGTTCAATCCCTAGTACCAAAAAATAAAAATAGTACATAAATAAATAAAGAGTTCTTTGTACAATTCTCACAAATTCTCTGTGTTAAAAACCATATAAAAATGGTTATTCCTCAGAACTATCAGGCCATGGAGAGAAAAAAAAAAAAAAGGAAACATTATGAAACCAAAGATTGGTGAAGATCAAGGAAATAGAACAATTAAATACAATGTGATAGTATTCTTGGACTGGATCCTAGAACCAAAAACAAAACAAACAAACAAATAAACAACAACAACAACAAAAAAAAAAAACAGGACATTAGTGGAAAAACTTGTAAAATCCAAAAAAAGTATGTAGTTTAGTTAATGTAATATACCAATATTCATTTCTTAGTTTTGATAATTGTAGTAAGATTGTGTTAAGGTGTTAATGTTAACATTAGGGGAAACTGAGAAGGATATAAGCATAAGAGTATAGAATCTTTGCAATTTTCCGTAAATCAGAAAAGATTGTAAAATTAAAATATTATTTTTTAGAAAAGTATTAAAACACACACACACATAGCAAAGAACACTACACCAACTTCCAAATACCAGGGAATATATACATATCAAGAGTTGCTGTGTTAGAGCAGAGATTTGCAAACTCTACCAAATGTGATTGAGTCAAAACTAAATAGTTCATCAGAACCACTAAATTAAGATTCTCTTGGGAGGAAGCCATCAAGAACATTTATTGGAACAGGTGCCCCCAGGCGGTTCTGATAAGCACCAGGTACTCAGCTCAGCACCTCTCAGACTTAACAGTGCACAAAGACCCCCTAGAGATCTTGTTATTGTGCACATTCTGGACCAAAGGTTTAGGAAAGTCCTAAGAATGTGCATTTCTAATGAGCTCCCAGGTGATGTCCAAGCATCTGGTCCTCAGCCCCAGGTACCAAGAAGGTCAAAGCAAGAAGGCAGAAGGGCCTGGGCGCACACTGCCAAGCAGTCTTGTGTTAATGCAGAACAGCAACATGTGAGACCAACTTCTGGAAGTCATTGTCCTCTTACATTGTAACCAAACCTAATCCTAAATAGGTTTAATTGGCGCCAAGTATTTCTTAAAGGTAAAATTTAACCAACAACCTTTAAAAAACCACACTTGCTACCTGACAAATGTGTACAAAACTACTATCCATCTGTACTCTTCTCTAGTTGCATAGGTCGCTTCTAGATTCTCTCTCTCTCTCACACACACACACATACACACACACACACACACACACACACACACACACACCAGAGATCAATTAAAACAATGTAAGATGCGGACTGAATTGCACCTTTTTGACAACAATCCCCCAAATATACCCTTTCTTCCATTCAAGTTTAAGTTCAACTCTTACATGATCTGTATCATTTGTTTTAATGATTCCTTTGGGTTCACAAAGTGCCATATAACCCTGGCATTTATTTTCTTGTCTTTAACCAGATAACAAAATCTCATCAGGAAAAAAGTTGCAAATCATAAATATAAAATCATATCAGAAACATAAAATTAGAGTTGCTATGGTATCCTAATTCTGAAAATGTATAAAACCATCTAGAATCCTGTTATTATATGCATTTTGGAATCCATAAGTGTATATTAAATTTCAACCTTTTTTCCTTCAGTCATTTTCTCTAGAATGACTATAGTACAATAAACACAAAATACTCTTCCTTAGACTATCTCTAATCAAACAGTGAGAATCACACCACATGACTGTCAAGATCCAAGCTAAAGGATGCTTTGAGAGGTAAAATCATTCTCATAAACCATCATGATATTTTTTCACTCAATAAATATTTACTGAGTATGTATTACATGCCAGACAGTATGCTAGGCACATTGTGAATTCTATACTAGTAATAAAATTACATTTGGCTGGGATCCAAGACTGAGCCCCTCTATCCTAATTTTATTATAAAGCTGTTAAAATGACAAAGTGCTAATGTACCTGTTGGCTGCTTCTGCAAAATGCAATGAGAAAAATGATTTTAAAATTTAAGTTGTGTGTTGCTTATGTGAAAACAAACTGCACATATTCATGTGTCACTGCAAGGCAGGGCTGGGACAGCCTCCGCAGTGTCAACTGCTCAGAGCCCAATCCACAGTCCCTCCCGCCTCTTCTGTGCTTCAGACACAAACCCCGTATTGACACAATTCAAGTAGATGCTGCAAGAAGATAAAAACCCCATCCATCGCCACTGCATGTGGTACAGAAATTAAACTACACTGCAACTATTATTGTACATATTTTTCAGCACAGCAATAGAGAGCGAAAAGGGTAAAAGGGGGGCTATCCAAAGTCTATAAACATTCTAGTATAGAAAGGAAACTGAAAATAACCACCCCACTGCCGTGGGCATTACTAACCTGATCGATTTCCATGAGCTTGGGGTAGGCTCCCGGCCATTCTATGGCCACCTTGACGATGTCCGCGGGTGGCGGCATTGTGAACCCCAAGACTGTCCAAAGCCCTTGGAACTGAGGATCCTACAGCGTGGACGGCCACACGTGTCTACACCTAAGGAGGAATGACAAAAAGAGAAAGAGAAGTCGTTCAGTGCAGATGCAGGGCAAATTCTGCTTCATCACTTCCTGTTTTCACTGGTGGTTTAGGTATAAGAAACGGCTCCCCTTGGTGCAGGGTGCTGAAGACGCAGGGGGTGCACCACAAGCTCCTGAGGAAAGAAGAAAGATGGGGGGACTGTGCCAACACCCAGGAGTTAAAGTCTCTAAGGGACGCTGCCCTGTGAGACCAACTTGTGCAACTTCTGCATGGGAAGACAGCAGCCCCTTACCACCAGGTTCTGCTCCCACCAGTGCCCAGGGGCTGAATGGGCAGGGCTTACCCTGTCCAGACACACATGTCAGCGCCTGGCGCTCAGCAGTCTCCGGAAGGACACATTGCCCAGGAAGTCATGGTCAGGAAGCAGCTTTTATTTAAAGCATTTTCTGTGTCACAAATAGATCTCCGCACTATAGCAACCAGGATATCATGAGGAAGGAGAAATGCCCTGAGAGTTCACACACGTACACACACACACACATTCCCCAAGGCCAGTTCACACAATGTGTCTACGGGGAAAGAAAATGTACAGGAGCAGATAGGACCACATTCAGAAGAGACCTTGAGTTCTCCTTTGAATGAGCGTTGATTACACAAAGGAAGTAACAATCATCCTCTACTGCCTCTCCCCATTTCTTTATTAAACTTAATTTTTTAAGTGGGTAAAACGGCCATGTGATCCTGTGTGTGTGTGTGCGTGTGTGAATGTGTGTGTGCACGCGCATACGAAGATGTACAGAGTAGTCCCCCTTCCCCATGTCACACACTATTCAATATCCACTTATACCCCTTCAAGCCACCCAAAGTAATTTGTTTTTTTATGCCTCCCTCCTGAATGTCTTCACGTATGGAAGATAAACACAAAAATATCCCATTGCTTGTTACACTCTCTTTACATAAAAGACAGCATTGTATCCTCTCCTTCTTTTTCATTTAGCCTATCTTATCAATCTTTGCATGTGACTACAATGGAGCATCCTTAATCTGTACACAGCTACACTGCAGCCAGATGTAGGATGTTTCCTAGCTGGAGAACCAGGTCTCTCTTGTGGGTGTTTAAATGATTTCTTACCTTTGGCTATGATAAACAAAACTGGGATACACTAAGCAAAGCAAACATCCTTTTTGCATATGTGAAAGTATATCCTTGCAAAAAAGTCACAGAAGTAAAACTGCTAGAGCAAAGAGCGTATGAAGTTTTACATTTTGAGAGCCATTTTCAAACGTCCCTCACAGAGGTGCCACCAATTTAGATGCTTCCTCCAGCAATATACGAGATTGCCTATTTACACATTCCTCCAACAGAGTTTTCACAAGCCTGACAGGCTGAAAAACATCACGGTGTACTTGTAACTTGTATTTTTCTGATTTTGAGTGAGGCTGGATGAAGGGGAAAACGTACATGTTCAATTTCCTGTGAACTGTCCTTTGCCCTTTTCTGTCAAGTTCTTGGTCTTTTTTTTTTTTTTTTTTTACTTTTTAGGAAAGTGATCTCTTTATGAAGATCTTAATGAAACATGTGCCTTTCATTGTTTATCAGACCAGAGTAAGCCTTGTCAGTCTGTCCCAAATCTCAATGGCAGTTGGACATCGCTGCGATGATAGAGATAGCAGAGCTAATAATGAAGCCTCCACAACATAAATAACCAACTTCAGCAGAGCTGACAAGTCAAGGAAATGAACCAAAACAAACTGCTGCTCCTTTGGCCAAGGATGATCAGGGAGGCCTGCTGTGAAGCTAATCAGCGATGACCAGGGAGGGCAAATCTACAAAGCAGTGGCTGAATCACTCACTCAACAAATAATCATTGAGCCTCAACTCCAAGTCAGGCCTATTCTCCAGGCTAATGATACAGCAGCAAATGATAAGCCAGGCCTATTCTCCAGGCTAATGATACAGCAGGTGTCAGGTAGCAAAAAAGAACACAGATAAAAATAAAACTTCACTAAGAAGGTAGTACTTGAGTACACACCTATGAGAGATGAGGAAGGGGCCTTGTGGGGAAATCATGTCCCAGGCATAGGAAACAGCAAGTGCGAGGGCCCTGAGGCAGGAACATACTAGGTAATAGTGAGTTGTTGAAGCCAAGTAAGGGGAAGAGTAGTAAGAGAATGAGTTGGGTCATACCTTGGCAGGCTTATCCCCAGGCCCTTGACCCTTAGGAGCCCGATAATACCCCTTGGCTTGTGACTTCAAAAGAAGGAAGTTCACGTCCATGCACATCTGTTCAGAGTATAAATTTCCCAGGGGACCTTTACCAAAATGCCGAAAATCTTGCATTCCATTTGAGTAATTTTAATTTTCTAGGCTGTTATCCTCAAGAAACAATTATTAACCTAACCATAACAATACCAACTGCTGCTTTCTTTCTAACTCCCCAAACCTGAAAACAGTTGGATATGTAACAATAGGGACTTGTTAAATAATTACGGTGTCTCATAGGTGCAAACACAAGCAGACAATTGGGCTTCCTCTTAATAGTCTGCACTCTTGTTTGAATACTTTAGCGTTGGAAAAACAATGCATTCTATCTGTATTATATCACTTCAATTCAGAATCCAAATTCAGCTTCTACACCTTAGAATAAGAATTAAGAAAGCAGGCTCTACTGTGCACCCAGATTCTGTCCCTATCAGGTAACACCATTGGAAACAAAGGGCACACAGTCCTGGGGGTTAAGTAAATAGGTCAGAGAAATAAAAATGCAGCTTAAGCACCACCTCCCCCTACATAAAACTCGGAAGAGGAGGCCATTTAACATTCGAGGAATCAAAGGCCAGGCTTGTTTTCCTGCCCCTTTAACTGGCATTTATTTCTCAAAGACTGCTCAGGGAAAACCTGCTGAACAGGTGAGAATACAATAAGGAGGCTCTCCCAGGTCTCCTAAGAGACCAGTGTGGACAAAATGGCCATTGAGAGGAGGAGGAAGCAGGGCCTTCCCTGGGGACTCACTCAGCCCAGCCAAGCCCAGCTGACCTTGTGGGCTTCCCCCATGAACAAACAGCAAGGGTGGGGGCAGCAGCATGTCTCCTCTGGGGTGGAGGCAGCTACCCAACTGCAGACAGAAAAATCCAGTCCACATTTTACCCTCAGGAGCCCACATTTCTGTCCTCTCTAATTTTTATTTCCATGAGGACACAGCGAGCTCTAAAGGCAGACCCTGTTGCTTCTGATGAAATTCTGGGGAGGTTTCCAGCTCTGGCTTTCTCACACTTGATACAATTAGCAGTTGGGGCCATAATTATTGTTGGGGGCAGGGGGCTGCTCTGTGCATTGTACGGAGGTGGCAGCATCTCTGGCCTCTACCCATGATTAAAGATCAACAGCCCTCCTCAGTCACCACAATCAAAAAATGTCTCCAGATTGCCAGATGGCCTCTAGGGGACAAAAATCATCCCTGGTTGAGAGGCTATAAGCTACCAAATCCGCCAGGCAGAGTACTAATGATCAGGGCGAGCCATCCTTGACCTGACAAGAGGCAAAAGGCCTCATTAAGCTCTGCAGGAAATATCAACACACAGGCCCAAACTCTTTGTTGTCAATAACAGAGATGGAAATGCACTTTTAAATCTTTAGCCAACACATTCACTATCTTGCTGTCCTTTGCTTCCTCCCAGCAGAGCCTTTGTGGCACTCTAGTTGTCAACTTCTCTCCACTACACTTGGACACTCTGGATGCAAGACCCACATGCAGTTCACATTTACATATCCGGGGTTAGGCAGGCAGGCATTTTAACACATGGTGGTTGGACAGCAGATGCTGCATCTATTCTGTGATTAACATCTCATTAGAGCTACCAGCCTTTAAACGGAGTCTAGTGTCAAAATCACCCAAGTAGATACCTAGGGTTTTAGTCAGTATTTTTCCTTGCTTTGACCAAAAGACCCGACAAGAAGAATTTTATTTGAGGCTCACGGTTTCAGAGATCTCAGTTCATAGATGGCTGACTCCATTCCTCAGGGCCTGAGGTGAGCTAGGACATCATGGTGAAAGAATGTGGTGGAGGAAAGTGGCTCAGGACACAGCCAGGAAGCAGAGAGACAGAGAGAGAGCTCTGCTCAACAAGACAAAATATATACTCCAAAGACACACACCCCCAGGGACCTACCTCCTCCAGTCATTCCCTACAGTCACCACCCAGTTAATCCCTGTCAGGGAATTAATGCAAAAATAATTAGGTTAAGGCTCTGATAGCCCAATCGATTCATCTCTAAACTTTCTCACATCCTCTCACACAGGAGCTTTTGAGGGACACCTCACATCTAAACCATAATACCTTGTATTGTTTGAATTGCCCAATAAATATAAGCAATACAGATTTGTGTAGACAGCCTGATACTTGTACACAAACTGAAACTTTTAGATCCACTAAAGGGAGAAGCAAAAGGCAAACTATGCAGCTGACTGGACATTCCAACCACTCAGCCTTCTAATGCTACTACTGAAGCCAGATTTAAAGTTAGGTAGTCAGTGTAGTTAGGTAAATCTGGTCTAATATCGAGTGAAATCTAAAATAGAGGCCATGTTGAGAATGAATTCCCGGAAAAGTTGAGCAACTCTCGGAATGTTAATGAAGTCCAGGAAACAGCCCCCAACAGATTTGAAGATAGCCCATCCCAAAGAAATGTTAATGAACAGCCCCAGCAGATTTGAAGATAGCCCATCCCAAAGAAATTTTAATGAAGAGCAAACTTGAAGATGCTGACTCAGAAGTGCCCAGATTACTTCTTTGGCTCACCTGTGTCCCAACCCTTCTGGCCTTCCCACCTACATTCCATCACCGAAAACTATAAAATGGAGAGACAACTGTACTTCCATGGATTCCATCTCTTGGGTCCCCTTCTTCCTCAGGGAGAAGTCTTTTCTGCTGTCCTTTAATAAACTTCTAATTTTCCACTCTGACCTTGCCTCGGCGTGCTTCTCTGGTGTTATTCTTCAACATTGGGGAAGCAA